GCCCCCGCCAGCGCCCGCCACACCTCCGTGCTCGGGAGAGCACATCGCAGCAGCTCCTCTGAAAGCCAGATGCTGCACTCAAGCCAAACTTCCCCGGCTTACAACGCACGCTTAGAAGTTCCCAGGTAGGTGAGCGAGCCAGCCGGCAGCCCTGATGTAATGCCTATAAACCAGCCCTCCCCTGACAGCTGGGCTTTAAAGTGCTAACAACCAAACGGGAGCTAATTAATTTGTAACATCACCCCTTTTAAAGAAAACCTCAGATCAGTAGCGACAATTTAATGATTCAGTAAGTTCGCCATTGCGAGGAGCAGTCAGATTCAGTTTTGCCCCATCCAAGCCCCATGCCCAGGTCCCTCACGGCCACTCACCTCCCCACTCACAATCCAGGCACACAGGATCCACACATACACCCCACGCCAGCTTTAAGGATCCTCTGAGAACACCACATATCCTGGGATGAGCTCCCTCTGCCACAACTGTCAACAGCACCACAGCCAACTGCTTCTGTCCCCATGGTAGGGGGGGACACACAGGACAGGAAAGTGGCACAACACAGCATAGGACAGACCTGCCACAGGGTCAGACCCACACACTTAGACAAGCACCCCAGGAGGAGACAATACAGAAGTGAATCATCAGCCCAGACTTGACAGATCACCCTTGAGGTCTGCACCACTACACCTGCACCTCTCTGCTTCAAGAGCTGGGGACTAGAGGAAGAGGAGGAAAATGGCACTGTGCACTTTGACCTTGCCACTTTTTGCAGGCAGAGGCAGCACTGTGCCTTTACAAGGCTGCCAGGACATGGCCTGATCCTGGGCAGAGCACGGGCAGCAGGCAGAGACCACAGATGGTGGATAATTGTGCAGACACTCCCTCCTGACCGGCTCCACTGTCACCAGCTTCCCCATGGCCAGCAGCTACCAATGTCCTCTGGTCCGTGTTGAGAGCAGCCATCAGTGGAGGATGGCTCTGCAGTGGGGCACTGCTCACGGTCCCCGTGGCACAGCCAGGTCCAGAAATGCTGTGCCAAGCCTGCCCACCCAGCTCCCGGTGAGGACGGGGCACTGCGCATCCACAAGCAGGGTTAAAGCACCGGGAAGTGGCTCAGCCTGTGCCTGCCCCTCGTTGTCTTGGGAACACACCATGCACACAGCCATCACCACACTGCCCCATGTCCCAGAACTCTGCAGGGAAGAGCCAAGCAAGAAGCCAAGCGACACACCTGTGATGCTACAGCAAGGACAGCAGCACTGGTCAGTGCTTCTGGGCCAGGACGAGGCGTCCCCAATCCAACCACCAAGACCCAAGACACCCCCCAGATGAGTGGGAACCCCTGGGCCAGGCAGAAACCTCAGAAAGCTCTTTGCCTGCGAGGGCTGCTCAGGCTGAACACGGCTGCTCCACGGGCCCTTGGCAGGGCCAGAGGCAGCAGAACCAAAGCCTCCCCAGGCCCAGGCTCTTTGAGACACCATCTGCTGCCGCAGACGTGCCGCCTCCCTTGCCCCATATATAGGTCAGGTCTGCCACAGGATTAGCCAGTGTGATTGCAGTGGGGTGAGCACATCTCCCACTGGAAGAAGGCTTTGCCCTGTCCTCTGCCCAAAACCCCACATGCCAGTGGCTTTCCTCCACCCCCTTCCCCCCCCCTCCCTCAA